AAAAAAAAGGGGGAAAGGAAAGAAAAATGCGCATGCCAGTCAGCTCCACTCACGCACACACGCACAGATATATATATATATATATATATATATATTAGCATGTTTGCAGGCATCAGAGCAGGAAGGGTCACACAGTGTAAGGAGTGCACCAGCATCACAGAGCATAGTCCCCGTGCTTCATTTGCCCCTTCTTTTTCCGTTTGCTTAGAGACAAAAATAAAAACAACAACAACAACAGTGCACCGAATCGAGGTGGACACTCACATGTCCATTACAACGCCGTCAATAACGATGGGCGCGTCTTTGGGTCGGCAGGACCGCCGGAAGGCGCGCTGCAGCCGCAAGATGTCGCTGCGCATCGCCTCGCCGAAGGCAAACGGGTCAAGCTCGCCGGCGTTCAGCTGCTCCAAGCACGGCTTCGCCCGCTCGAGGAAGGAGCGGCTGTCGTCACGCAGCGCCTCGTCAAGCTCGTCGCTCTCACAGCAGCGGATTAACTGCTCCACAACTGCAACGACCAGCGCCGCGTCGAGTTCCTCATCCTCCTCATCCTCCTCGTCTTCGTCGTCGCCATTATCATCGTCGTCGAGCACATAGCCGTCATCCTCGTCGCCCCGCTGNCCCGGCTCCCCTTCCCGCTCTCCGCCCTCCTCGCCGGAGTCCTGCAGCTCGCCCTCGTCAACGGTCAGCTGGTAGCCGCCAACCTCCACAGCCCGTACAAGCCCTTCGTCATCGACTACCGGCCGCGGCTCGCACACCACTCTCTCACTGTCGGTCGCAACGTCGTCATCCACGTCCCTCTCTTCCTCCTCACGGAAACGTTTACGGGCGTGAGAGAGCCGCTCCGCCTCCTCCACGCTCAAATGCCGCCGCAACGGGGCGCCGTTGTTGCCAGCCCCGCCACCGTCGCGGAGCGGCAGTGCGTCCACCACCTTCACGCGGCTACGCGGGACCAATGGCTCCAGCGCACCAGCCTCCCCCGCTGTATCTTCCATGAACAGCGGCATCTCGTCAAGAGCAGCACCCGAATTCGTCTTCTCCGCTTCCTCCGCCTCACGCCGCATCGCGTGGAGCTCCTCCGGTGGTGGGTTCAGCACCGCCGCCTCCTCTACGGCCGCCTTCCCGTTTCGTAGCACCTCGCCGTCGCCATCGTCTTCATCGTCACTGCTGTATAAGAACACCAGCTTTGTGCGGCGCGGCAGCGGTGGTGCAGAGTTTAGCGCCTGCGGCTGTGGCAGCAGCAGTGCCTCCTCGCTCTGGAGGGCGTCCTGCAAGGTACCCACGGCGGCACTCCCAACTTCCATGATAACGGACGAGAGCCTTGCTTACTCCTCCACAAGCGAGAGAACTAAATGTGTATGTGAATGGAAAAACGCAACGCAGAAGGCAGTGAAATAAAGCTGAAGAAATGCATAAACACACAGAAGTGTCATTTCCGCACAGAGAACCCCACACACACAGACACAGACACACACAAATAGATCGAGTCTTGCTTAGCGGAAAACACACACATACACACGAAGGCATACAAGCACCCGACGCCGCGCAGGACGTTTGAAAAGCACAAATAAACAAAACGAGGGGGCTCTTGCCACACCGCTGGAGACAGCCACACAAAACAGACAATAGCGGGTAACGACTGAGCCTCGACAGTGGAAGCCAATCAACACACTCCTGGGAATGTAGCATTGGTTCCCCATCCCTCGATTTTCTTTTCTTTTTGTCCGATTTTTTTTTTTCCCTCTTAATTCTTTCTGCCCCTTTATTCCTATTGGCGTGCACAACACAGCTTCCTGCGCCCACCCCATCCCCCGCAATGCTGCGTGTGTTTTCTTTTTCCTTTTCTTTTCTTTATTTCCTTCTTTCCTCAAGCACCGGCGCCCCACTGTGCCCGCTGCGGCATACACGCCCTCACTCCTTCCCGCGTCACCGCTTCACTCGGCACCTCTACCTCCTTTCAGAGCCCGGCCAGCATTCTTTCGCGTCTTCTCTATCCTCTGCAGCTTATGCCGCCTTCGAAACCCACGACTTATTTCCGTCTTGGCCCATCCCTCGGGTTTATTGAGATCCTTTTTCTTTTCTTTTCTTTTTGCCTTGAACTCTCCCTGCTTTCTGCTCCTCAGCGCTTCCTTCATGACTACTGCCCGCCCTTCGCCGCCATTGCCTCGTTGCTGGTTTCGGTCGCCTCGGCGCGCCTAAACCCCTTCACGCGCTGTATCACGACGGGGCACATCTCCAAGCAGATAATCGCCAGCATGAAGCCAGCAACAGCAAGAACAACGCAAACCCCGGCCATGACACCGCCGGTGATCATGCTGCGTTCCAGCATCAGCGGCCAGCACGAGCCGTCCATGACGTCGTACACACAGTCGGTGGGGCACGCCTGCGCCGGGCACATTGCGCGGTACCGTGCGCACTCCTCCGTCGGGGGCCTGCCCTCCACAACGCAGTCGAGCTGCTCCTTCGTCGAGGCGTCAAGATAGCAGGCAGCGCCCGCCGTGTCGGTGCCTGTGCTCGACTCCACGAACCGCGCAAAGTCATCGAAGGGGCAAATAAGGCCGTCTGGTGTTGCGGCGTCGGTCGGCACGTTGGCCGCGTTGAGGCAGCGAAATGGGAAGGCGACGGCAGCAGGGGTGGCAGCGGCGGCCGCCCCCACAGCTGCGTGGCGGAGGCGCACAAAGAAACCGCCCGTCCTCTCGTCGCGGAGGAGGTCCACCAGAAACGTCTCCACCGGCGGCGTCAAGTTGCTCGGGTTGTGCCCCAGCGTCGTGCTGATCGGGACGTTGTGGACGTACTGCATCACCCGCTTTGCGTTGTAGCCGGTGTTCGTCGCGGGTAGCATCTTCCGCCGCATGTTCCGCAGCAACTCCTGCGCCAGCGGCTGCCCAAGACTCCCGCGGGCCACCTTCATCGCCACACCGGTGCTGTGGCCATACAGTAGGTGATGCCGCGCGGCCTCGACAGCGATCAGCTTCGGCTTATTCGCCACCACAGTGGGGGTGCTGTCCGTCTCTCCCGTTGCCTCGTGCATCGCCAGCAGCTCATGCAGCCAGTGGCAGCACGACGCACGGCGGGAGGGCACTGAGCACACACCTTCCATCCCAACCTCTGCACCCATTGCACTCAGGACGCCGAGATCGGGGAACTGCGCGTCCACGATGTCCCCCAGGGCATTGTTGAGCGCATCTGCGTTCAATTCCTTTGTGAGGGTGAAAGATGGAAACGCCTCCACGTTGAGTAGGGTGTCCTGATCGGGTGTTGTCGCCATCACCGCAGGAGTAATGGAAGAGTTCTCAGCGGCATAGATCCCCTTCAGCAATGCGTTTGCCGCCTGAAGAGCGGCGTGACCCGCGAAGGAACGGGTCTGTACATCTTCCGGATTATAAGATGATTCAAACCACGTAGCGCTGTTGACAGTAGCTGAGTCGCCACTGTACAGTCGCTGAATATAGTTTCCCATGTCACTCTCCTGCTGCACGCCTCTATTTGCGATGGCGTTGCAGTCAGTCGTGTTCTTGGGGCTGCATAGTTTGGTGCGGTTGGGCACACCCGCCGGTGGCGGCCGGACCCCGCTGCGGTGGACCACTTGGGTCAGCTCGAGCACGTACAGGCCATTTGCGCCTGTGACCGTGAGCAGCACGAGGGCAACGCACCACACAACCAACAGTGGGAGGCGAGCCATGGAAATAATGCGTTGTTGTTCCTTCTCTCCGATGGCTTGTTTTTGAAATTCGCTTGGCTTTGCAGTGCTAGGCCATCAGCGATGGTAAGGGAGGGAGAATAGAGCAAAGGGGCAACAAAGGAAACAGGCAACGAAACAGCAAAGAAGGGCACTGCTCCAAAGAGGGGTGGGGGAGGGCACCACAAGGGCTGGAAAAAAAATGAAATGAGCAGCAGAAGATGACAAGGCTCCGCTGCATTGCAGAGCACGGGTGCACGTGTTCACTCCTCTTCTTCCCGCTTCCCCTGTTAGCCGTCAAATATGATTGACGGGCCTGCTGGTGCTGCCCCTCCAGTGCCAGCTTTCGACTTGAGTGTCATCACGGCGTCGTGGATGCGCTCAGCAAGCTCGTAAAACGGCCTCGCCGCCTCCAACGCGCCGTCGCCCCGCAGTGCCGGGGGGTACCCGTCGTCGGTGTCCTTCATGATGCGCTGCACGAACGGTATTTCGCCCAGGAACGGCACCCCGAGCTCCTCCGCAGTCGCCTTTACACCGCCTGTGCCAAACAAATCGTGCCTGGTGCCGCAATGGCCGCAGGAAAAGTAGCTCATGTTCTCCACGATGCCCAAGATTGGGGTGTTTACCGCGGCGAACATGTCGATTCCTCGCCGGACATCAATCAACGCAACCTTCTGTGGTGTTGAAACGATAATGGCCCCCGTCAGTACGATCTCCTGCGTGATTGTCAGGTGCACATCATTTGTTCCCGGCGGCATGTCAATAACCAGGTAGTCCAGCTCATCCCAGTCGGTCTGGAACAGCAACGCGCGGATGTATTTGTTTACCATCGGCCCCCGCACCGCGATCGCCTCGTCGAACGGCACAACAAGGCCCATGCTCATCACCTTAACACCGAAGTTCATCGGCGGGGCGAAGCGGTCGCTGCCCGCCACACGGTACGTCTCCACCTGCGAAGCGTCAACGCCCATCATGGTCGGTATGGAAGGGCCGGTGATGTCCGCGTCCACGATGCCAACGCTATGGCCCATATTTTTTAGTGCCAGTGCCACATTCACCGAGCAGGTGGATTTGCCCACACCACCCTTGGCACTACATAGTGTGATGGCGTGTTTGATGCCAGGTATCGCCACTCGAGAGAACTTCATCGTCCTCCCTCCTCCTCCTTCGTCTTCTACTCGCCTGCCAATCCACACGTGAGACAAGTGTCTGAGGAAGCAGAAGAAAACTCAAGCAGGGAGTGGCACAACGAGGTGGGTTGAACGCGAAGAAAAACCAACAGAGAAAGAAAGATACAAAGGTAAGGTATCAAAAAAAAAAATTAAAGAACAACGCCAAACCGAAGGAAACTGCAAAGCCTTGATTGACTCCACAAATACTGTCAATCCCTCTCCAAATTTAGCATCATCCCAGATTTAACGAAGCTTCGTGAAGCCAATGTGCTCAGCGTTCTCACGGAAGCACTGGCGGCACACGTTGAGCTCGTACTTGCGGATGAGAGCCTTCTGGTTGGAGCAGATGACGCAGTGGCGTGCGCCCTTGCCCATGCCGATCTTTTGCCGGGAACGCCATTGGTCGAGGTGGCCCATTGTTTTTTTTTTTTATTGTGTTCTTCTTTGCTTACTTGATGCGGAGTTCCTTCAGGAGGCTTTATACGAGAAAACAAAATGCGAGAGGAAAGAGCACGGCAACACTTGGGGTACGTTTCGCTAATTGCATCCACTGTGATGGAGGCACAGTCGCTACCCAGCGCATTGTATCTTCACCCTCGAGTATTGGAACAGCTCACAAAACGCTTCCGACCATCCCACCCCTCTCCCCCTGTGGATGGTTTCATACACGTATCGGCGTTTCCCCCCTTTCCCGCTACCTAAACTTCAACTCTCGACGGTCCTGTCGCACCTCCTGCCACTTTAGTAAGATGATCGGAATCCCAATAACCCCTAGGGCGGTTGACAGCACCACCAGCAGAAGCCTCTGGTAGGCCGAGTCGACAAGGTATAGCCGCAGACGCCAGTGCCCAGGAGACAACAATGGATTTAACCACAAGAATAAATTTGAGTTCGGTACTAGGTGTGCTGACCACTGGCGAATTAGAGCCCGCTTCTCGGCGACGATGCCAACAGTGTAGTACTCAACATAGGAAAAGGTACGACCCAGACCAAAGAGCAGCCGCGGGGACGGTAAGGCGTGACCCTGACTCCTAGAGAGTTGCGTTGCATAAGCCCATCGCTTGTGCATTGACACGTCACTCCAACCAAAGCGGTGAACAGCACAAGGCTGGTACAGGCCCCATGCGTCCGCATTGAACGCACCATTGAGGGTACTACTAATTAGAAAATAGTTTTGCTCCAATGACGATAGGTGGTTCATATAAATCGCCACGTCAAGAGCTTCGCCTCCGTGGTAGGTCAGCACGATATCGAGACGTCCCCTGTCATTCAAAACGACAAAAAATGGAACCGCGTTTGTGTACGCTGGGTATTTCTCATGTGGAGCCTTCGCAAGATTGCCATCCACGGGGCTACAGGAAAACGGCACGTCGTTTGAATTCGCGGTATTTGTGAGCAACAAAGGGCCATAAGTGCTCGGAACCAGTAGGTCGATGTAGCCGTCTCGGTTGTAATCCCCATGGCGCAGCAGCAACGGCGACGCCAATGAACTGGGCATGGTGAGGGGCATTTCGGCACTCGTGTAGATTCCACATGACCTGTTTGTCTCAAACAAAAGCACTTTCGAGGCATTTTCATTAAATCCGTATGGATGCCGCTTGCAGCATCCATCATCGCTGCAAGAAGATGAGCCTCTCAAATCATTGTAGAAAACGGCAATTCCATCGAATTGAGTACACTCACCAAAAGGAACTGAATCGTGATCTGAGGCACAAATCGGAAAAACAATATCAGCTACCCCATCGCCATTGACATCCACCATACTTGGAAGGCCGTAATGATTCGCTGGTTGCAAGGTCAACAACAGCACGTGAGTGTCCATTTCGGTAAAGAAAGCGTACAAGTCTAAGGAGTTCTTGTCTACCTGATAGACTGTGTAGAGCAGGTCCGCCGCACAATCACCATCGATGTCATCAGACGCAATGCTAAGTGGGGACACCTCACGCACACCTTTGCTTCCTTGAAACAATACTAACGGCTCAAAGTTGGGTGTGCCTTTCCCAACGCATGAGCCATCAGACGTTTCTGTTGTGGCTCGCATGAGAACAAGAGATCCTTCTTCATCAACCAGTGCTATATCCGGGAGCCCGCAGTGACTCGATACACTAACTACACTTACCTGGGGTATGCGGGCATCAAAAGCAGGAACACTTGCCTTGTTAATCGCCACAGGAAGACCATCACGGTTCCGACCGTCGATAACGTACAAAGATGCATCCTCGCACTGCAAAAGAATATCCAGTGTACCATCACGATTTAAATCCACCACGATGGTTGCGACAATGGGGCTTGGGAAGTCAATAGATTGCCAACACAAAGTGTAAAGAGTACCATCATCTTCTTTCCGGCAATACCACACCAGATTAGTGCGGTTCTCCCAAGTACCAAAAAAGCCGACCTTCATTTGGTTGTTCCAATCCCCCACAGAAGTAATACGAAGCGGAACAGGTGAGGAACCTAAATAGGCTGTTGTGTCGTTCAACCATTGCGCGTGTGTCACTGGCACATCAACGACAACAAGACTCAAGACCACGATGAAAGGGCTGAAAAACCATCGCATTCTTCTTTTTTTTTTTTTGTAGAAAGACAGAAGAAAACAAATTTTAATATATATATATATA